TCACTAAGCGCTGGAAGGAGACCATGCTGATCTCTAGAAAGACATGCCAGTTGGACTAACTGGATCCTATGGGACTAGGGCCCTCACTAGTTAGCACCTGAAAGCTCTTCTCAGCCCTGGAGGGGGAAATCTCTACAATGCAGACAAAGTGATGCAAGAGAGCTGCCTGCTTGCCTCTTGTCATGCTGCATGTCTGTCACTTAGATGAGAAGAGAACAGCAGGTCCCTGCATCTATGACTCCTTACCAGATAATGGTGCCGCTAGGAGTTGGGGGAGGGCCCCCAGAGCAGGGCCACAATTACAGAAGGTGAGGTAGCAGATACCTGCCTGATCACCTCAGCCTGCCTTCTACATTCGGCCAGTGCAGGCATCTCGGGGCCCCATCGCCTTCCCCCAAACTCACAGAATTGTTACAAATAACCAAGGAGTCAGGCCTGGATCAGGTGCTGAGTGGATCCCATTGGACCCACCCCTGGGTCAGGCAGTCCTGTGGAAAGGGATCACACAGGAGACAGGAAAGTTCCTCTTCTAATTCACTGGGGAACAGCTTGAACACTTTGGCCTTGGGGCCAGGACCCAGGCACTTTGCAGTGAGGTTCCTGGTCTCTCTTTGGGGCAGCAGGTTTAGGTGAATCTGAATGTGTGTGGAAATTAAACTGCATGTTGGATTTAAATGCAGCCTGCTGCCCAGTCTGCATTCCTGCCTCAGTAAAGGGGATCTGCCCAATGGGGATCTGCTGTCACAGCAACCCATGACATGCCTGGGCACCTCTCTCAACCCTTGGTGGATCAGGAAGGCAGAGCCCAAGACTAGCTCAGAGCCCCCATATTAACCCCCTGCTTCAGTGGGTTCTCCTGTCCCATGCCTGGTGGTGGTGAGACTCTCCCCTCACTGTGCCCTGGTCTGGCACAGGGGATCGCCCCCACCCCTCCCAAGCTTTGGGTGTCTGCCCAAAGCGCTGCATAAACGAGGCTTTTCCTTTATGCATGTCACAGATGGAGCTTTCGCCTCAGAGCTGCTGGAGCAAGTCAAAGACCTGGAGCTGCAGGGGGTTTTGGCAGCTGAATCGGGAGATGTGAACACGGCCCTTGAGAGATTCAGCCAGGCCATTCGGCTCCTTCCGGAGCGAGCCTCGTGCTACAACAACCGTGCCCAGGCCCTTCGTCTCAAAGGGGATGTGGCAGGTAAATGAGGAGGGGAGTTGTGCCCATCACACCTGGGTTGGCAGTTACGTTGGGGAGGGCAGCAAACAGATGGTCTGACTGGTTCTGGGGTGACTGGGCCAGGCGTGGGGTCTGATGGGCAGCAATGGAGTCACAGCACAACGTATGTGAATTGCACACAATAGAGAAGTAGGTTCTAGGCTCAGGACTGGGAGCCAGGAACTCCTAGGTTCAATCCTGACATGTGACCCAATGTTTCATGTGATGTACCTGTGACCCAGGACTTTCTTTTGTGGGTCCTGAAATGCCCATTTTTTCGGTCCTATTGTTTGTTCCAGTGTGTAGTAACACTGGGTAGAATTTGCTCTGTATTTACCAGGAACACACTTTCAGAGTGATGAACGGGGTTTGGAGTGGAGTAAGATGAGTAGAGACACTACTGGAGATGCGCTGGGGTTCACAGTCAGTGTTCATGATTCTTGGTCTGTGTTCCATAATAGATAAATTCAGAACAAGTTCTCTCTCCCCTCTGAGAACCTGCCCATGTTGTGGATGGGTCAGGAGCTGGTGCACAGCATAGAAAATAGCAACAGAAGGTCCTGTGGCACCTTTAAGACTAACATGGCTACACCTCTGAGCATAGAAAATAGGTACTTTTTTATCTATTGAATGAACATTTCATGACCCTAAAACAAGTCCTCCCAAAAGGACCCTGTTTTTTTATTTTGAAAATGTTGTTACAGCATCTCAGCTCTGAGACACACTCCGAGGATGGCTTTGGCCACTGCCCTGTGCCCCATCTGTACGAGAGGGATAATACTTCGCTCTTCCAACAGAAGGCAATGGAAAGTACCTAGTGCTGTGCATACTGATCATGGATCTGAACCCCCAGGAGCCCACAGCTGAGTCCCAGCACATTCCACTGACCGGGGCAGGCAGAGTTCACCCTTCTTCCATTCTGTCTCCACACAGGTGCCCTACAGGACCTGGACACAGCCCTGCACCTCAGCAGGGGCACAGGCCGTGCGGCATGCCAGTGCTTTGTGCAGCGAGGTCTCATCAAGGTGCTGCAGGGGCACGAGGATGATGCCAGGCAGGATTTTGAGCAGGGAGCCAGACTGGGTAGCGCCTTTGCTCGGCACCAGCTGGTCCTGATGAACCCCTATTCAGCGCTCTGCAACCAGATGCTGTTGGAGATGATGAGGAAGCTGCAGAATCCAGACATCTAGGGAAGCAACTAGAGCCAATCTGTCCAGGCAAGGGGTCAGGAGAGGGTTGCCAATGAATCATTCTGCTGGGCCAGGCAGACAGGATGCCCTCCACCTACCCCACATGAGCTGGGGCAAGGGGAGCCTAGATCAGGGGTTCTCAACCATTTTCTTTGAGCCCCCCCTCCTCCCCAATAAAAACTCCATGGTCCAACTGTGCCACCACAACTTTTTCTGCGTATAAAAGCCGGGGCTGCCGTTAGCAGGTAGCAAACAGGCAAATTGTCCGGGGCCCTGTGCCACAGGGGGCCCTGCAAAGCTAAGTTGCTCAGACTTCGGCTTCAGCCGCAGGTGGTGGGGCTCAGGACCCTGGGCTGCAGTCCTGTGCGTCAGGGCTTTGGTTTTCTGCCCTGGGCCCTAGAAATTCTAATGCCAGCCATGCTTGGCAGACCTCCTCAAACCTGCTTGCGGCCCCCTGGTTAAGAACCACTGGTCTAGATTGGTGCATCCTGAGCAATGGCCAGATGTTTGTGGGGAAGTTTGTCTTTTGCAGAGCCTGAGGCATCTCAATCCTGGCAGCCTCTGCTGGCCTGGCACAGGGCATGATCTGCAGTGTCTTTGTCACAGGCTGGTTCCCAGATGAGGCCTCCAGGCAGGTGAGCCACCTGGCAGGGCCTCCCCAGGAGACGGGCCACTGTGTACAAACCAGCACAAGCCACTTCCTCCCCAGAAGCATTGTCGTTTCTAGTAAAGCGTTAGAACCTCATGAGTGGCTCAGAATCACACCATATTCTGGACAGGCCTCCCCTGCGGCCATTTCTCTCACTTGTCTGCTCCAGAGAAGAGCTGACCCTGCTTCAGCTTGGGCACTGTTCTTCCCTATCCCAAATAAACTCTCGAGTTTGACTGGTGCTTGGCTCCAGTTGTCTGGGTGTAATTAATGTTCTTTTCACTTTTAGATGTAAGTAGTAATGAAAGAGTGCTCTGAAAAAACCCAGCCCCTTCCTGTGTCCCTAGCAAATGTAGCCATTGGGTTCTTCGGTTTCCCAGGTCCTTGTTCACATGTCACTCAGCTGGGGCCTGGAACTACACTGGCCTATGTCAGTAACAGTAGCCCAGTGGACTGGGTCTTTGGAAACAGGATTCGATTCCCTGCTCTGGTCCGGATTCACTGTGGGATCATGGGCCAGTCACTCAGTCTTTCTGCCTTGGTCCCTTCATGGGTTTGGCTTGTCTTTTTAAACAGCGTTTTGAGGCAGGGACTCTCTCCATGTGCACATTCAGCACTTAACACAATGGGGCCTCTCTCTGTTCCTCTTTGATGGTGGTCTGTGAACTGATTGCTTTCCTAAGGCCGGCAGTGGCTTAAGGACACTCTGTCCTTTCATTTGCTTGCACTCCCTCTCCGGGCCCAGCATGATGCGGTTGTGTTTCGGTCTCCAGCACTGACCCCCGCGGCCTGTCTAGCTTCAAACATTTCCCACTTGAAATCATGGCAAACACCCCTCTTGACACGGGTTTTTAACCCTCTTTTCATTTTGTTTCCAGAACATAAGGTCTAGTTCTAAGCTAGGTCAGAATCGGGTAGGGGGCAGAGACTGGGCCTGCTCCATCCTAGCCCACAGCATTGGCCTGGGGTTGCCCAACGGGCATTTTACATAGTAACTGTGTGCGGTAAAATCACAGTAGCACCAGTTAATCCGACCGAAGCGTTCACACGAGCCAGCGGCCCCTGGTGTGACCGGATCCGGTTCGCATTGGTGTCAAGCCGAGCCTTTGGCTCCACCCTCCAGCCAATGGGGTCGCAGCCAGGCTGCAGCGCCGGCCCCAAGCGAGGCTGGGACTGCAGCGGGCGGGCGCGGAGCCAGGGCCGGGCCGGGCCGCTCCGCGAGCTCCGGG